TAAACTCTAATATCATTCAACAATCTATGTGACAAAGCCAGGCTCACACCTTCCTCCTGTTTCCAGTCTTCATGTTATGCTAAACTAACTTCACCTGGCTATAGCTTGATATCTAACACATATTGTAGACATGGAAGTGATATCAATCTCCTTGGTTCACTCTTGGCAAGAAAACTAATCCTTAGACTATTCCTATAAGAAAAATAAAATAATGTAGTCAAGGTTTTCTTGAAAATTAAAACTAAACCGATGATAGAATCATTATTTTCATTCAACAAGCTGATTAAAGGTATAGTCAGCCAATCTAAACCATTACACATTGATATATTTAAATAAATGTTCCTCATATTTCTCTAATTTGCTTTATAGTTTGAATGTTCCACAAACCCCAGGTGGATGTGAGCTGTACTCGCTTTGTAGCAGCTAGAGATTGTTGTGAGAGAATAACAGTGGAGTCTGTAGATGGTTAAATACGTGTTGTGCCCCACTTGCTAGTTTTCTGATATCTCCTTTGATTGTGAGTGACGTGGTTAGGAGATCCTAACTGAAACAACTTGTGGATTTATGTACACAGTGACCAAAATGTAAACATCCTTGTGCTAGAATTGCTGACTGTACCTTTAGCCAGCTACACATTTTAACAGATATTACTTTTAAATCACTATTTCCGTTGTTCACATTAATTTTACGTAACTATTGTATCCACATATCTGTTGATTGTAACTATTTTAACCACTTAGCAATATTTTTATCTGTTACTTTATCCATCCATCCATTATGCTTGCTTTGTCTGGGGTCAGGTCATGAGGGCAGCACGTTTAGTTGGGTGATCCAGACCTACCTCTCTCCAACAAGAAGTTCCAGCTCTTCCAGGGGGACCCTGAAGCATTTCCAGATTAGATGGTGCCTCCAGATTGTGTTGGGTCTACCCTGAGGCCTCCCACCAGATGGATGTGCCTGGAAAATCTCCAATGCAAGGTACCCACAGGTCATACGAATCAGATGCCAGAGCCATCTCAGCTGGCTCCTTTAGACCTGAAGGAGCAGCAGCTCTACTCTGAGCTCCCTCTAGATGTCTGAACTCTGCACCCTATTTCTAAGGCTGAGTCCAGCCACTGTATAGAGGAAACTCTTTTCAGCCACTTGTATTCATGATCTCATTCTTTCAGTCACTACTCAAAGCTTGTGACCGTAGATGAGTGTTGGAACATGGACTGACTGTTAAATTGAAAGCTTTGCCATCTGGCTCAGCTCCCTCTTCACCACATCAGTCCAGTGCAACACCCACATTACTGCTGATGTTGCACCTGTCAGTCGTTCACTCCATTTTGCCCTCACCCATTAATAAGACCGTGAGATGCTTAAAGTCAGGGCAGCAATTCTCTCCAAGCACAAAGGAAGAAATCCACAGTTTTCTGGCAGAGAAACATAGCCTCAGACTTGGAGGTTACTTTTAGCTTGAATCTATTTTACCCACCAGTTTTAGCCAACAGTTTCAGCTGCTCATCTCGTACCTTTAGCTCTCCACTTTAGCCATGTTTCCATTATTCCTTTTAGCAATCTCAGTAGGCTACCTTTAACCTTTGAGCTAACTATTTTAACTGTTTAGATTAGATTCAACTTTGTCATTACACAAGTACAAGGAAACAAAATACAGTTTAGCATCTAACCAGAAGTGCAATAACAGCAGCGCAGTGTGTGCAGTATCTACAGTATTTACAGTAAGTACTAATTTACCTATAGATATGTACAGTTGATATGTAAGGTAATGTACAATATACGACAGACTTTATGGATTTAAATTACAAGTAATGGGTAAAGTACATTAAATTTATAAAACACTAGTGCAGTGGGATGAAATGGAATGAAATAGTGCAGAATAAGAAGATAAATAAGTTACATTAGTTACCAGTTCAATGGATGTAAATAGTGCAAAGATAAATATACAGTATCTGCATGTGTACAGTACGTGCAAATTAACAGATCACTTCAGTATTGCAGGTAACAGAAGTGTACTGCATTAGTCCCAGGAGAAGAGATGAGAATGGGTGAGGTGTGTGTAGTGGTGTAGGAGAAGGCAGTGGGGGTCAACGGGGGACAGAGTTCAGTAAGGAGACAGCTGTGGGGAAGAAGCTGTTCCTGAGTCTACTGGTCTTCGTCCAAATTGTGAAAGACCACTTGTGCTGGTGTCATATTACAACATTTTTAATGACATATTGTGCTAAGCTAGTATGTATTAAACACCCTTGCACAGCTGGAAGCATTCACGGCTGCTTAATTTAGAAGAGAATGAAATAGGCTAGCCCTTATTTTTCACAAACTTTCAGATAACTCAGTGTATGAATATATATTTGTGAAATATCACATTCATTATACTATAAATTTGCCTTGAGTTGTTACATAAGTGTAATTTTTAATATAACATATATTTGCTAATGTTTTTGCACTTGTTGCAGCCTCCAGTTAATCCAAAATGCTGCAGCCAGAGTACTGACAGGAACTAGCAAGAGAGATCATATCTCTCCCATATTAGCTTCTCTCCACTGGCTCCCTGTAAAATTCAGAATAGAATTTAAAATCCTTCTCCTAACATACAAAGCCCTTAATGACAAGGCTCCATCATATCTCATACAGTAGACCTCATAGTGCCTTATCATCCCAACAGAGCACTTTGCTCTCAGAGACCAGGTCTACTTGTGGTTCCTAAAGTCCACAGAATGGAAGCCA